TTTAAAATAAAAAAGTAATTTCATTTAGTATCTTTATGCCATAATGAGCTGCCATTGATAGAACTGTCAAGTTATTAACATTCAAAATAATTTACATTATAAATAATTTTCATAATAGAAAAAATATTATATTTTTTATAATCCGTATATTTTATATACTTATTATATATCATATTATGTTGTTATAAAATTCAAGCATATGATATTTCTAAAAGTATATAAAACTTTGTTACAATATTATCCCACCCTCTGATCTCTGACATTAGCGGTAAGTAAGTTCCAGTCCAGAACAACTTTTCCATTGATGAATAAGGTTGAATTGGGCCCCGGCTCCGTGACTGTGCTCATGAAAGTTTCACATCTGTTCTGTGGGGGGAGAGCAGAGGCTAAATCCAATTTGTGCACGGACTCAGTGTGTATTCTTTCGCCCGTTGCGCCGGCGAACTCTCTCAGACCTCTGCGAGCACGAGGATTAGAGCCTGTGATCCCCAGCTCTTCAAAAGCTTCCAGCCTCCGTCCCGTCCCCTGCTCAAGGCCTCACCATCAATCTCCCGCTGTTCTTTTAAAAAAACACTCACTGAGCACTTATCCCTTAAAGTCCAGCCAGGACAAACACTCCCCGGCCAGGACTGGAAGCGCACAGAGTTGGGCGGCAGGGAGCAAAGGGGGGTTTGGGTGGCCTGTTTTGGCTTAATTAGGGGATTAGGGAAGATTCCTGTGCTTTTTACCACTTCCTGTTGGGAGTGAGAGAGTAGGAGGGCTCTGATGTGTTAACCGGCCAGCCCCGACTCCGAAGGGGACTAATCCACGTGAAGAATACACTACTTGCTAAACATCAGGTGCTGACCCGGGGTCAACTGGGTATCATGGTGTTTACCCGACAATCAAGTCCTAATTCTCTCCTCGCCTTGATCTGATCCCTCCATGGTTACTCGCTCTCCTCAATACAACTCCATCTACTCAACCACCCTAGAAACACTACTGAAAACCTGTTGACACTTACAGTCTCTCAAAAGGACTTTAAACATTACTTTGTAACATATTTGATTTGAATAAATGCATCAATCAAATGCTAAAATAAAATACAAAAAAAATAAAAATATGCAAAGAACAGCTGACTTGTTACATATAGTTTTATATTTCATTCATGTAAGCTCAAACAGTAAATAAAATAAATTAAAAGAAAATAGCAAAGAAAAAGTGTTAAAAACCAACTTGAACATTAGTCTGCCAAATGCATACAAATAAAATATATAAAATAGAGTGAAATAAAATATGTAAAAATTGACTTGTTATATATAATTTGATATTACATTCATGTAGCTCAAACACTAAATAAATAACAGTAATATGCCAAATGCTTACAAATAAAATTAATAAAAGGAGAAATAAAATATGTAAAATAATGACATTTTATATA